TTATCACATTCCGTGAAATACAGCAAATCTATTAATATACAGGTTTATTAGAGTGTTACAGGTTTGTATATTAAACTGAATTCAGGACAGATGAACATATTTTGCCTATGCAATTTATTATATTGGGATTTCTCATGTAATGTCGGCCATGAGTAGATTTATGATGAACCTCCAGAATAAGCAATAAGTACTTATTGCTGGTTGCCTTAGAAATAGGTGATTTGAAATTTCCACAACTAAGGGTAAATTCTGTGAACACTGAGGTTGCGTTTGCAGGATGAACTATTGATTGATAGCCTTAAGCAGTGATTGCAGTGTATTGTCAAATTTTAGAAACTTTGTAGGAAAACATTTAATATCAGCATCTGAATAAGAATATGTTTAGCACGCAAAATTGAGTTTTTCTGCATCGAACCATATGAATAATCGGCTCTTACTGATGAGGAATCTTAGATCAAAAGAAAGCAAACTTTGCATTTTTCTCCTTTTTCATTTTTCCTGCAGATACTATGGACGATTTCTAGTTTTACAGACTGGTTTACCTTTCAATGATCACTCTAACAGTAATAACTGTATTAGTATACTGAAAGTGACCACACACATTTCCCAATCAGTTATCGTTTAGTATCTGCCAAATGGATGAAAAAAACATAAACAGGAAACTTTTCAATAGTTTACACACAAAGATAAGTTTTGTTAGTGGTAATATTTCGAGCAAAATTACTGCCCGTATTCACACCACTGTTAGAATTGTTTTATTTCACACACGAATAAAACAATTCCAACAGTGGTGTGAACACGGGCAGTAATTTTGCTCGAAATATTACCAATAACAGAACTTATCATTGTGTATAAACTATTGAAATATAATTATACTTTATTTGATCTAATCCACAATACTCAAACTTTTTACTGATATAGACAGGAAAGCTTTGTATTGTTAAGAAAATTTATTTTGCGTCTAGCAGACAGTAATTAGAACTACCACGAAAAGTGTTTTTTTTTGTCTGACACATTGAAACCCAGTGTTTGCATATGGAGACAGTAAAAGCCATATTAAGTCAATTAAAACACACATCTGGTTGAATCATGCCAACTGGTGCTTATTTCCAAGTTTCAACTTTATATAAAGCACGTTACATTCGTTTACAAAAACCAAGGCATTATTTAAGCAGCTAGGAGGAAATCTTATTGATATGTAATCCTCGAAACATAAGTAAGACGTTATCATGCATTCTTTTTGTTAACCTGTGAAATTATGAGGTACAGCCAGCATAATTAAGATTTAAATTTTATATTTCATGGAATAGAGACTGGGTTAAGTCAACTTCCAATATTTGCGTAGGCAAATACCCAAATTAAAATTGAAGCTGTATGAGAAATAAATTTAGCCTAAAGTCAAAATAGTTGTATTTAAGTGAAAAGATATTCCTAAGATGTCTGATATATAAAAGGCACAAGGAAAGCAAGATTAATTTACATCAAAAAAAACTTGTTGATTTATCACTTCTGTTGTTGGACTGAAAACTAACTTGAAAAATATAGCTTCACTGTAAGATTTTGTTCTCTTGTTTCACAATTAGTGATTTAAATTCTTCTTCATTCTATCCCCTAAACACACTGAAGGTGAGAATTATCTCCCTATGTTTTGCAACCATAATTTCATGCTTATTAGTTGCCTTAGCACCTGAGTTATTTTACATCATCTTCAAAAGTTTGAATAATTAAGTAAGTAAGCTCCAATATGTGATGAAAGAAACCTTATCAAATCTGCTTTCAAAACAATCTATCGCATATTCACCGCTGACATATTAAATGAGGAATTGAAATTCTTCCGAAACAGTGGGTCAGAACAGTTATTCACTGGCATTCATTAACAAAGTTTTGAAAAATAAAACTGATAATCCTCGAAGGACAAAAGTATCAAAGAAGTTAGTTGCAATCTCAATATTCAAAGATAACTGAGGAGCTGAAATACTTTGAAGCAGGATACTGAGACCAGTTCTTAGGAAATTCTTCGCTGGAGCTGCATATCTAACCTTCTCCACGCAACTTCTTATTCATCAAAGTGCCAGAAACAATGTTCCATTGATGACAATATCCATGTGTGTATATATTATTTTAAATGCTTCTGCATAGTTAGGTATATAAGAGAAATCGTGCAGCATAGAATTAGTGATGTCTTCGACTTTATTTCTAAAAGATCCGAGACTAATGTGAGTTATAAATGCATGTCATCCATGGATGTATCGTCACTATTCACTAATGTACCGCTTATGGAAACAGTAGATTATATTTGTCAAGAAATCACCAAAGGGCAATTAGACTTAGGAATCCCCTTGTGTAGCCTCAAAGAATTACTTCTTAAATGCACAATGAATGTTCACTTTGTCTTCATTAATTCATACTATCGACAAGTAGATGGAATAGCCCAATATTAGCTGACTTCTTTCTCACAAAACTTGAAAACGGGAAATTGAAGGACATCATCAAGGAGTTTGATATGTATTACCGATATGTCGATGATACATTTATCTTAGCTGATGGGAATGTAAACATAGACGAATTGTTGCTGAAATTCAACAACGTTCACCCTTCGCTTACCTTTACTTGTGAAGTGGAGCAGGAGAATAAACTACATTTTCTGGACGTCTTGCTAAGTAGGGGAGAAGATGGGTCATTTGGGAGAAGCGTGTATAGAAAAAGCACATTCACAGGGCAATACACACACTTCCTTAGTTACGTGCCCATTCAATATAAAAGGAATGTTGTTAAATGTCTTGCGAGCAGAGCAGGAAATATATGTACGGATGACTTCTTACAAAAGGAATTTGAATATATTCACGATTCCTTGACGGAGATGGGCTATCCGAGTAGTTTCATAAAGAAACATATGAAAACATCAGAGAAAGAAACCCGAGACTCTGATTGCACGTAAAAAACATCTATTTATTAAGTTATAATTTAATGGTGACTTATCAAGTGAGATTTTATTCCAAAGACTTTCAAGGAGTATACGAAGAACATTTTACGCAGCGCACCTATGTTTGTCATTCTCTAGCCGACGAATGATTGGGGCGCAAACGAAGGATAAGCTTGATAGTTTTGCCACATCTATGTGCATTTATCATTTCAACTGCACCTGGGGTGACAGTTATGTTGGGCGTACTACTAGACAGCTTAGCCAAAGTGAACACCTCCCATCGTGGTTTGGCAAAGGATAGACAAAAACAATCCTTAGCTAAATTTTGTCACACTTAATTGATAGTGGTCATGTAGTGGAGAAAACGAGAGCCTTCAAAATAATTCATCGTATCCCACCGAATCCTTCCAACAGACTTCGTATTCGTCTACTGCACACAGCTGAGGCGATAGGCATTTGAACTATTAAACCTAAACAATGCATTCAAAAGAAGTTCGTACAGCCATTATCCCTCCCTTGGCCTATTAGGACATAACCAACTAATGACTTTTACACCACCCCTTGTTTATATTTTCAACCCCTTTCTTATCATCCCTTAACCTTGTCACATCTTCATTATAAAATTGTTTCATTTACTTTTCTTGCAATCTAACATTACTTAATCCGTTCATCTGTTTTTACTAGCGTTTATTGACTACTTCCACCTGAACAGTTGTTTGTTTAATCATGCTGTTTTTTCACTATTTGAGTTAAGTATATAAGTTAAACATGTGGATGTTGTTGAGACGCACTCAATACGGTTGTTGAAAGGAGAAATTAGGTTAAACAGTAGTTCCATTCTTGAGTACTTTGTTCTTGCATATCATTCCACGTTAATGGAAAAATGTTTCGAAATGCTTTATACGAAGAGGTCAAGCTGTTTGAAGGTTTTCCATCTGAATCTTCTGCCTACAACTTAATCTTTTGTTATACATAAGGCAAAGCTTGAACTATCCGTAGAGAAAGGATTTATCCGATCCATTTGTTACTGTCACCTTAAATTTGCCTTTGACATGAGCAAACATTTTGTAATTTATTTTCATTTGCTTTTTTATACTTTAAGAAATACTTTAAACATATTCTGAGTCTTACTCACATAAACAATCTTCCTGCTTCCAGGGGCTTGCAATCTTACTAATGACCGATCCCGAGTACTCGTCATCGCTTTATATTTTTAGATTACGCAAGACTATCTAGTGAAGTCCCAAAATTCATGGATTCATCTTTCGGATATGTAATTTCATGCATTTTGTTTTGCTAAACAATCTTTGTAGGTATTTTCTACTACCTACTAGAAACATTATTTGACTTCACGGCTTTCATGAAAAGTTATGTTGACCTGTCTCTTTCTAATTTAAGTCATATGAGTGTTTTTCACACTTTGAAGTTTAACCTTTTTATACTATTTTAGTAACACTACAGTCTTCACTTGGCCCCAGTCCTTATTACTACGTTAACTTTAGTAGAATAATAACTATCTAATTGTGTTAACGAAAGTGTGTTAAATTTAGATTTTAAATTTGTAGCAGATTAGTAAATTTCACCAACTAAGATATTTTCGTTGGACGTCTTTATTCTTTATTTCGATTTTCCTTACAGGCATTTCCAATAAGCTAACAATGTAGACTTACGAGGAGTATACAAACTTTGAATAGAATTTGTGTGAAGGTCAATGGGAACACAAAATGTCGATGCTTGATTCGAATGTTTACGTACTAAATAAGTTTATTTTATTACATATCAAATCTGGAACCGAAATAGATTGAAAGAAAGTAGATATTTTGAATTGAGGCTAACTTCTGATTACTAGAACACCAACTAAATAGGAATAATTCTTCGAGAAATTATTTATATTTTGCTACTTTTATCATGTTATATACTTTCAATGAAATTAATCAAGACAGAACCCAAAAAGTTGCTTAGTAATTGATACTTTATTTCAGTTATTTTTTATTTCGTTGATAGGTTGCACGTATATTGTCGACGGTTTTATTCCGTAATTTTGAATGATCAGTATGTTCGTTTCCTAATCTTCCTTCTATCCGTACCTAAAACAAATAAAAAAGAAAGAAATTTTAACTAGTAAAATATACTACTAATCAGTAGTCGGAAGCGGTAACTCAGAGCAGCTACTACAAAGGACGATTAGAAATGGTTAAAAAGAAATAGCTACGGTAGTAGCCTCTAAAATTAGGATATGCATGTTATATACTCCCTGAAGGTGCATCCTCACTGTATTTTTATCCTTTTTATGCTACTTCATAACCATTTTCAAGTGGAGACTCAGTCAACTTGCTTCTTATCTATAAACGATTATTAATTTAATTAATTTCCCTTCTTTCGTTGTAGTGTTGTTCAGTGCTCAGTTTTGTTCAATCTTAAGAAATCTATTTTGGGTAGCTGCATCATTTGGGTCACCGCTTCCCTGTTTTTCAGGAATAGACATAAACATAGTAAACATAAATATGATTTTAGTCTTTGAAGATGAATTCCTCAATACAAAGAAATCTCTGCTTCATGGATAATAGTGATATGACGACTATTAGGTTTTCTAGGAATTATAATAAAACGATATTAATCATACTGTGTTAAGCCAATACAACGTTTTTATTAACCGAAACCATGTTCTTGAAGGTAGACATCATGTCTAAATAGTATTTACAGGTGAACTACTGTGACGGAAAATCATGTAAAGAAGCGACAGACGAGAATTTCAAATTTAAACCATTTTTTATTTAGATCAAGCTAAGGAGAAATGGCCTAACCCAAATATTCATCAACCTTATTCAACAGCTGTACGACAACGGCACATGTCAAGTGATCAACAACGGAAAACTCAGCGAGGCGTTTGAAGTAAACACAGGAGTCAGACAAGGGTGCCAGCCAATTATCACCAATGATATTCCTAATTGCGGAGGACTGGATTATGCATCAGACAGTGGGAAACGAGAAGACAGGGAGATCCTGGACCGACGTGAAGAACCTAGAAGACCTGGATTTCGCGCGTGGATGAATTATGTTTGATGTCATACAAAATCGAAGACTTACAAGCGAAAACCGACAAACTGGTCGAAGAAGCAGCAAAGACAGGACTCCAGGTGAACATAGACAAGACGGAGGTTATGAAAAGAACCAACCAACCAACAACAACAACAGCAACATCCAACGCCAATCACCATCAACGGGAGGGATTTGAAAGGGGTTACTTCATTCACTTATCTAGGGAGCATTGTCTCAACTACAGGACGAACGGACGAAGATGTCAAATTGAGAATCGGGAAGGCAAGAAACACATTCATCAACCTGAAACCAATCTGGAAATCTTCGTCACTCAGCATCAACAACAAAATTCGGATTTTCAATACAAACGTCAAGTCAGTCACTTCTTCTATACGGATCAGAAACCTGGCGGGTCACAAAGAATATTTCCAACAGGTTGCAGACCTTTATCAACAACTGTCTTCTTTGGCTCTATACTGAAGATTAGATGGCCGGAAAGAACCACAAACAAGAAGCTATGGGAACAAGCAAAACAATAACCAATCGTCAAACAAATATGCAGGAGAAAGTGGAGATGGATTGGACACTCGCTGAAGAGGCCGTTGTGTGACATCGCACGTCAGGCCAGTGCTCGAGTGGAACCCGAAAGGTAAGCGGCGAGTGGGACGTCCAAGGGTGACATGGAGGAGATCGTGTGATGAGGAACTGAAACAGTATGGATTAACATGGATGCAAGTGAAAAGTACAGCACAAGACAGAAGCAAGTGGAGGCGTGCAATTGAAGCCCTATGTTCCACTAGGAACCCAAGGGAACAATAATAATAATAAGGAGAAATTCGATGACATTTTTTTTAGGGTGGCGTTAAACTGCATTTTCCAGATAATGTAAATTTTTTACGCTTTAGAGACTTTTACTAGATCTCGCAAGTGAGGTCTGATAGATCTATAACGTTAGAGGCATTTGTCAATCATCTACATCAGCATAGTCAAGTAAATAAAGCGACTACATTTAATTCCCCTAAGATTTTCACTGATTATCTAAGAAGGTCTTTATATTTATGTAAATTAAGGAGTACTCACATTTAGAATGCTCAATCCTAATTATATCAAAACAAGTAATTATTAATGTTTTATATCCTAGGTCGCTGATAACACCATTGTCCTGTATAAATCACTTTCTATACGCTATCATCGTAGCATATTTGGTGAGGAGAAATAAACAGTGTATAAGTGTATTGTATAATTATGGCAATAATTCCTCAGGCAAAGCATATTCTTCCTCAGCTTCAGATTTCGCTCATGCTCTAAAATCATTCTTTAATTTGTTTTATTGCTGATACACGACACATCAGACATAAAACATTCATTTCAAAATTATTTCTTGTTTAGAATATCTGAACAGATCACTTATTATGGTTTTTCCATTTCTGCATTCATTTAACGTTAAGTCATGTACTTGTTTAAGCTTTTGTGGGACTAAAACTGTCAGAGAAACAATATTTTAATTGTAATTTAGAGAAAATACTTTTCTTTTGATAAACAATACATATCAGTTACTTAAAGATGCCAGCTTTCTATTTCAAAGTGCATGTACAAATGTCTACCAAGTATAACACAACAGATTAATAGAAATTTTAAAACCAGCTAGCGTAAGCTGTTGAAGTTTGCAATGGGTTCAAGAATCAACTGTAAATTAGACTATTCTAAATGAATTAAAGGGCTCAGACGAAAGAAACTATAGTGAAGTCTAATCACACATCACACTCGAAACATCATTGCAGCTCAAGAATACTGGAAACACTTGCTGACTTGTATCAGTGAAAACATAAATGATCAGAACCACAGACTTTATAAACTACGTATTTTATAAAAGGATTCAGATAATCACATAATATTGACCGTTTCATTACAGTTCAGGACGGAACAAACTATTGAAAAGAGTAAGCTTAATTACTGAATCTTTATTAACCAAATGGATCGCTTCTTTTTGTACTGAAAATGGCTCTATCCCAGGATTTAAGAAGTTCTAATACCTCCAAAAATAGAAACACACGAAGGTTTGAGATTATTAAAGTGAAACACCTTTCCGTTTCCTTTTTTTTAAAGTAAGTGAAGGTTTTCAGAGATTTGTTATGTAAGTTCTGTAATACCACAGAACTTGTATATATACATATATCCATTTGCTGGATACAGCCAGTAAGAAACGAAGAATCCTGTTAACCCATCAACAAAACAAATGAAAAACAATTATCTTTGATAATATGATTACATTCGAAAGCATGTATTTACAAGTAATTAGATTTCTTAAAAGTGCACTCTTAATGGTAGAAAATCAGATTAATAATAATTGGATTATTCAAACAATCTATTATATGACTATTTTTTAAATGAGTAATAATTATCATATCCTTGTAACTGTGCTGAGAAATAGCACAGTAAAAAAATGTCTTCAAGTATTGGTTTGTAGGGATTTGATTGATTGGTTACAGGATTTCGTTGTGAGCTGACATCGGTTGGAGAACCATTGGAAAACCACATGGGGAGTACTAGACAGCTGTTTCGTCGTAGTTTGGGACTCTTCACAGCACGCACTCCTTTACTTGTTGTCGGTGGCACAGCGGTAGAATGCTCACCAACCATGCAGGTCATCCGGGGTTCGATATACGGCCGATACACTTCTTTACTTCCCAGGTTTTCCAATGGTTCTCTAACCGATGTCAGCTCATGATGAAATCCTCCAACCAATCAATAAAATCCCTACAAACCTACACTTGAATATCGGTGAGACGCTCGCTGGAGACTGGCCCTATTCAGGTAGATAGTTACCTGGGGTTCTATTGGTAAGTGGTGAACAGTAGGGTGTGGCAGGTCACGCGTGAGGACAAATACTTATTGGAGAAGACATTGGCTAGTGGTCGCGCTATGTCGTGAATTGGCAGAAGTTTGAATTCATGGGCTGGCCATTGCAGTGGGTCTCAGTGGCTTAATGGTCTACGAGCTCGCTTGCCTTGTAACCAGAAGGTCGTGAGTTCGATCTCCGATGTGTGCGTCCTGTTGAAAAGTCCAAGCTAGGATGAAACAGCTGTCTAGTACTCCCTGAAGGTTTTCCAACGGTTCTCTAACTGATGTCACCTCATGATGAAATCCTGTAACCAAAAAATATCTGTTATGTATTCAAATATCTTCTAGTTGCCTTCATTTCTCACTAATTAGTGATTTCATTAGAGATCAAGTTTGGTGTAACCTAAGCACATTAATTGTAGGAATCCTGTCTAAAAGGTGCTAATTGTCTCATTGGTGAATACTGTTATTGACTTGTGCAGTTATTTCGATACTTCTTCATGAACAATGAATTATGTCCAGTTTATACTTTAGTAAATAACATCACTTTATTTTGGTGTCAATACATACACATGTATGTGTTAAAAGTAAAAGACAAACGTATATGAAGTTAAATAATGATCACATAAAACGTATAAGAAACCATGGAAATGCTGAATGCAATATAAAATTTTAAACAATAGTTTATTTGTTTGACCGAGAATGAATCCTGAATAAAGATATAAGAATTGGTGCAAAAATTTGAATTTGCAGTACACTCAAAAATCACAAAGCAGTATTATGATATCCTAGGGACATATTCAGTGTGATATTAGCAAATTTGTGTAGGTGAGACCTCTTAAGCACTTTTCTAAAGTTAACTTCGACCTATGTTAACAGATTTCATATGAGTTTGTGTACTTTTTTAATGCAGCCTACGACTTAAGACGTCGCTTCATAAAACGTATCACCTCATTGTATTTTCCCTTTCCAGTTTTAACTTATGTCGCTTAATCATATTTCCTGTTTTCTGTGTTCAAGATAACAAAAGATCGGATATCCGTCTTTTAAAAGACTTGTGAGGGATGTTCAAAATGTATGTTGCTTTATTACTTGAAGAATAGCTTATTTTAGTACATAGTTAGGTACGAAACAACTTACCCATAAGAGACGGTTTTCTTTTTACGTATTTCTCGCGTGGACAATCTTGACTAAAAATTTATCAAGA